ACAAAATGTTAATAAAATAAATACTTTTTCCCTTTCTCCTCCCCTAACCTTTTCTGAGAGAGTTGATTTTTCTTTTAATTTGGGGAGTATTTTTAGCCAGCTGTCTTCTCTGCCTCATCTCCTCCCAGAGTGCCTGGGTAGATAACTAGCTGTATTCCGAGAGAGGTGACCCGTGCTCAGTCTCCCTGCGTCCCAGATGAATCTCCCAAGTCCTGTAAATAGAGAAACTGCGACGGGGCGGGGGAGGAAGACGGCCGAGTGGCCAGCCCATAACTGCTGCCCGTTGCCACTGGCCCTCTGGCCCTGTTCCCTAGTCCCTGTCAGACTCCACATTTTTATTATAATACTAGGACTGGGCCGGAAGGTGCTGTCAGGCGTTCATCACCTTGCTTAATATCCAAACTGTTCCTAACCCTGCTGTCCTGGTGGTTGTTTGACCTGAGGGGTACAGAGAACAGTGCTGTCTGCTGTCATCTCTCTTTCTTCTCCCCCTGCATGGAGCCAGGCCCTGGGGCAGTGCCCAGCGGTCACTGGGGAGAGAGTTGAGGCTCCTTATTCTGAGAAGCCCTTGAACCGCCAGTCCCACAGAAAAAAGTCAGCCCTCCCCGGTGCCTGGTTTGTCTGAGCTGAGTGGTGGGAAAGGACCCAGCGGCACTGTGAGCTAGTTGGCTGCAGCTTACACAGTCAACTGGTTTGGTTCTGTTTGCATTTTAATAGAAATCTTTAAACAATTTTGTTTATCTTCTGAAGGATAAAAATAAGCAGGTGTGGCAGCCCGGAGGCCGTTGACTTCAGCTGCTGCAGCAGTAACATGGGGCTTTATTAATCAATAGAATGTAGCTCTCTTGTTTCTGTTCTTTTAAAAGAATCCCACCCTGGAGAAAGTGATGGAAGAGAAGTCCTTGGCCCAGCATCTACACAGGGGCAGTCTCCTGGGAAAGGGAACTGTTTGGAGAAGTAGATTCCAGAGAACCGAGGGAACTAGCAGTCCGTCCTGGCTCTGGGTCTTCGTCTTCACGGCTCGCTTTGAATTGAGCGCAGCTTTGCAGATCAGGCAGCTGTGGTCTTAAAGGTGAAATGATAGAGGCAGGCGTCCTGCTCCGTCTGCTCACCTCGGACAAGTCCCCTCTTCCGTTTCTCTTCCTCTTGAGTAAAGCTAGTGAGTGGTTGGAATGACTGAGCAGGACTTCCTTAGTTTTGCTCTCTATCAATAACATAGTTTAATTGTCAGTGTCACAGGCTGGGGGAGGGGCTGGTAGCTCCTGGAATCACCAAGTAGTAGAGGTGAAGTTACTGAGAGAACATCTAAATGCAAAGTGCTAGTGCTAAAAGAAAATTTTAGGCTTTATTAAAATTGGCTCATTCTTCCAAAGGCAGCAGCTAAAGGACATGTGAGTCAGGGATGGGAGGGGAGGAGGTTTGCCTGCCACAGGACAGTGACACCCTTTCCTCCTGTCTCTTCTCTGCTCAGCCCTTGCTCAGTCCCTCTGCGGTTAGATTGCAGATAGCAATCAACTGGAAGGAAGTATGTGTGTCTAATTTGCATGAGATTATTTAAAACAAAAACAAAAAAAAGGTCTGCATTAGTCAGGGTGATGGTAAACAACGCAAAGAGCTGCCTTTTACAATATAGCCTGTGCCTCAGCTTTCAGAGCCAAATATAATTCACTTACAATCGGCAGTTTCCTTTATTATTCCTTTTAACCTTTTGGATTCTGCAAGGTCTCAATCGAAGTTCTCCACTGTTTATCTCAGTGGGGGTGGGTGAGAACCTGGCTGTCTTATGTGTGGGCCCTAAGGCAGTACCCCATCCCTAAAGGCAGAGTCCTTTCAGCGCCAGGAGCTGGTGAGTGGTAGATACCTGAGAGGAATGACACTCCACCCCACCTCAGGCTCTGTGAGTCCCAGATGAATCACTTGAGTCTTGTAGAGTCAATCTTCCCAAAGCTGGGGACACTCCAGAGGAAAAGGCCACTAAGGGAAGCGTAGGCACCAGTCTGTGAGAGGCCTTTGGATTTATTTGATTAGAATGTTAGAAGGAGATGAGGTCGCTCTATCTTGTCACTCTGGTAGTGTTCAAAAAGTTGTCCAGGTGTCATTTGCAAATAGGACCCAGGTGTTAGGTTCCTGTGTTGTTTTGGGATAGCCCCAAAACAGCATTCACTGGCTCTTTCTTATGGATGGGGTGCCGGAGGGGGCGGGGCTGGGAGAAGACAAATTAGTCCTCATATTTTCTTTAACAAGATTGAAGACTTTAGGCATCATTTTGATGTGTTGTAACTCTGCGCTGTAGTGGGAAGTCACCGGGCTGGGGTTTCATCTGGCATCACCAGGCTTTTACTAGTATGATCTGAGGCATGGTTTTCACCCTCCTTAGCCCTCAGTGTTTTGGTTTTTAATCTGTTAAATAAGGGCAATGGCTGGGATAATGGCCCAGCTCTGAAATTATCTTATTCAGTGAGATCGTTAAAATGCTTATTTTTTTAAAAAAGAAGAAAAGTGATTCATTTTCTGTAACTAAATCAAAATCCTGGCTCTCCAGAGAACTAGGGATATCAGAATTCCAGCCAATGTAAATTTAGAGCATCAAATGATAAGGTCTGTATAAAACAAGAGCTTGGAAGGAAGTGCTGATGCCCTTTAAACCGGGGCTTCACTAGTGGGCTTGGCTGCAATAATGCAAGGAATATGTTTTATTAGGAAAATAGGCTTCGTAAAAGCTCAGGGCCAGAGGGCAGGACAGTGGTCAGGGAGTCCTGTCCCTTTAACCAGCTCCAGCCCTCAGCTCCAGCTCTCAGGGCTGCAGCACAGCCTGTAACTTGCTGTATATTTCCCCAGCGTTAAACATTATGGTACTTGTTTATATTTGAAAGAGCCAAAAGGGAAAATGAGAATGCAACCGAATGCTCCTTTTGGGAAAATTATCCTCATTTGCAGCCAGTGGCTGACAAGGCACACAAACCACCAGCTTTATGAAGTCCCATTGTGTACCAGTGACCAGTAGCTCGTGCTGACGCCGCATGTGCCACTGTCTTCTTTCGTGGCTGATTATGACTGGTTAAAATCGTGTCTTTCCTACTAGAACTCTGAAAGGGGTTCCCCTTTCTACCGAGGAGTGACTGGCAGTCAGTACCCGGGCTGGAGCCTGGGAGGCGCTCGCTCAGCGAAGTGTGTTCTCTGTGTTTGCCCGGCTCGTCTGTCTGTCCTGCCCCTGTCCTTGGGAGGTGACATCACAGTAAAGCGGTCCTTTTGCAGCAAGCTGGGGGCTTAGGGAGGAGGAACATCCCCCCTGGCTAGCCCCACGTATTCAAATTCAGCTCTTGTATTTGAAGGTGCCAAGCGCCCGTAAATGATCCTCTTTGCCCCCTGCCAGCCTCTCCTCTGCCCCATCAGTCTGTTGAGAGGATGGTGCGCTTGCTCGGGCGACCCAGCAGCACTGAGACTCCACAGAGGTGTGGCCTTGCCCACCACTGGCGGGCTCTGTCATGTGCTGAGGGCAAAGAGGGAAAGGGATGCGGTGTTAAGTGGGGAGGGACCTCAAGTGCTCGGTGCAGAGAGGAGAAGAGAGGGTCCAGGGCCATTTAGAATAGTTCAGGAATTCTCCCTTGACCACTTGTGGTGGGGCATGAAGAGTTTGAGGGGCGGCTGCAGCCAACTCACATGCCAGCGTAGTGTGGGGCAGCGCTGTGCTTAGAGCATTGATGGGCTCCGCCGGCTAGCCCCTTGGCACAGAGCTCGAGGCACCATGCTTCGGGAGATGTTGACCCTCAGAGCCTCCTTGTACTTCACCTCCCCCAGGGACAGATAGACCAGGCTGCGGACCTCCGATGGAGAGCTGCCGGCCCGATGTGGACGAGCTCTCGGCTCTAGTTTAAAAGTTCTGTGCTGTGGCTGGACTGAATGTCGGGATTCCCAGAACAGCTCGGGCCGGCCAGAGTGCTCTTTTGCAAAGACTAGCAGTGACCTCACACCTGCTTCTCCCAGTCGCAGCACTTGGAGCATTTCTGTGCACACGGCTGCTTCCCCTGCGACACAGAGCTGCCCTGTGGGGAAGTCTCTCTCACACCTGTGCGCCACTCCTTGTGCAGGTGCTTTGGATTGGTCAGTGCCCTCGTCCTCTTCCCCCAGAGCCGGCGTCCCTGGTCTGCCTCTGACCTGTTGAAATATTCCAGCTGTGCGCCCACTGGAAATGTCTTCCTGGGTTTTTCACTTGCCTTTTATTCCTCCTTGGGCAAAGCCTCTCCACATGTCATAGCCACTGCAGATGGCGCCCTGCAATTTCCTGATGTCCCAAGTGCACTGTGGTTTAGAGTGTTGGGAGGATTTTTTTAAAAAAAGGAAAAAGAAAAACTAGCCAAAGGCGATATAGGCAGCCTGTGATAGTCCAGAGTAATAATCATCTGAAAGTTTGGGCCTGGCCTTGTTTTGATCTGTTTTCTTGTTTTATTTTCTTCTTTACATTCTATATCCCATTCATACTAATCACAGTCAGTCCTGATTTTTCTTTTTATTTCTGCATTTGTCATAAAATAAAGCAAATTATTCCCGTCTTCAGAAACGATCTAGACTAATTAGTCGTCTCACCCAATAATTAGTTTTTTGTTTCCCTGTCTGTTTTCATGCATTATTGTTAGTTTTTTCCCCTCTTTTTTTTAACACCATTACAGATTAAAATGAGCCACATTTGCAGTTTGATGGTATCTGTTTTCGGGGAAGAATGGAGAATTGCAGTACGGAGAGACTTCAAAAGCAGCAATAAACTCAAGGATAAATTAAGGAAATTGAATGAGCCACATTTGGAAGCAGTGTTGAGGCTAATATTCCGTCGCTTAAGGTTAAATTGCAGCTGAGAGAGGTTCCAGAGAATCCGAAATCAGGGAAGCAACTTACTAGGATGCTAGGCATCCTGTGACTCTAAGGTCTTTTCTCAAATGATTTCGTTGCAGCCATGGACAGTGGCAAAAGGTACTCATCTGCAATTATGTCCTCTTCTCCCCCAGGGCTGACGGATGAAGAGATTGATTTGGCTTTCCAGCAGTCGGGCACGGCTGCCGATGAGCCTGCGTCCTTGGGCCCAGCCACACAGGTGATGCCTGTCCAGTCCCCTCACCTCATTTCGCAGCCATATAGTAAGTCACCCGCTCAAACTCTGGCTTTAACCTTGACTGGGATTCAGGACTCTGGCCAAAGGGCAGCGCTTCACGTCTCCCAGAGTCAGCAGGTGTGGTGGGGTGGGGGTGGGGGACTGGGAGTAGGAGATGGCTCTTGGGTTTTTCCAAAAGACTGTGACACACCCAAATCCTCTTCTAGACGAACTTTTAAGTATGTGACAGAGGTTTTAAGACTCAAGGTACCAGAATAAATGAGTTTATTGTATTGTTTCAAGTATTTTGGTTTCAAGCAGGAATCTGTAAAAGTATTTATTGGTTCAGTTTCCGTTTTCTTATATCAGTGCTTTTTGCATGTTACTGTTTCACTAATAAGAACATAAACATCTGATTTATGGGTGCATTCTTGTTTGGTCACTGAAATAACTTGTCTTCTAATTTTATCTTTTAAAGTTAATATTAGTAGATTTAAGCTAGCCTTCCTCACCCCACCCTCCTTTTCTTCCTTCCTTCCTTCCTTGTCCTGGCTATACCATGTATATTTATGTAGTGGCAATCTGTTAGAGAATTTCACATTAAATGTGAAGGTCCTTTTTGAATGCAGCTTTTAATTATTACATGAGAACATGACCCATGAGAGGTTTTCGTTGTTTTTAAATGAAAGCTACTTTTAGCAATAAAGCTTCTTTAAGCTAGTAATAAATGTACACTTCCAAAATATAGGCAGAACTCCTTCCTTAAGTCACTTATGAAAAACCTAAAAAGGCTAAAATTGACTCCAAAGCAATGGAAAATTGCTCAGTTTTGTGTGTTTAACATAAGACTTCAGCCTTGGATCTGCTGTCTTTCAAAATGCCTTTTCTGTAATTGTCTTCATTTTAATGGTCTATCTCGGAAGTTTTCTTTTTTTCAAAACATGTTTTTAAAGTGTCAGATATCAGATTTTAAAAGGCGCAGTTTAAAATGCCAGACTTGTTTTGATCCCCACCACGTGGCCTGGAACCGCCTTCCGGCCCCCACTTCGCCGTCCTTCCCACAGCTAGGGAAGTGCAGTCTTCCGTACAGACAGCGCGGGGGGGGGGGGGGGCCAGGCAGTAGGTTAGAATATGCTTTGTGTGTCACAGGTCTCGTTTAGATATCATCTTTCTTTTGCTCTCTGGAAAAGGCTGAATGGGTGAGGCCAGGTAGCACGAACTCAAGCTGAAGCTGATCTATCCGTGGTCGCCTTGTCTAATAAACCACTGGCGTCGTGTGACCTCTGAGACCGGTGCTCAGTGATGAGCCTTGTACTGGGGCTGCTGAGTCAGTGGCAGCTATTTGTCAGCCTGGGACTCATTCTCAGTCCTGGCTGACATTCTTTTCGATCCATTGTGTTGCTTTGGGTCACTAAACATAGTCTCTGTGTTTCTTTTAAACCAAAGGCTAAGTCTCCACACTTTTTCTTCAGGTGTGTCCTTGGGCCCAGGGTTTGATGGGATTTGTTGAGGATGGGCAGTGGCAGCTGGGGTGCAGAATTTTCTAAAATGCACATCTGTTCTATTCCAGCTGTTTCCTCCATGGCTTAATACCAAACAGGTCTCTCCGCTACTTGGAAACTTCTTGCTCAGAACAAATTGTTCTGTTGGTCACAGAGTTGGCCTAAAGCATCATGCATTTGCCTGCTTTCAGTGGGCACAAAGGGTTAAACTGCTAGTCTTTCTGAAGAGGCAAAAGAATGGGTCTGGGAGGGGCGAGTCAGTCATTTAAATCACTCTCCTGCCCAGATCTCTCTGAGAAGAAGCATTACGTGTTTAGGTATTTAGGTAGGAGTATTTTTAAGAGTCTCCCAGCCCTAAAAATAAAATACATCTTCTTAGAGACAGACTCCTTCCTGCTTTGACGCTAGTATAAAAACAATGGTAATGGTAATTTTAAATACCTGGAGTTTTTTAGTTGTCACCCTCGAGCTTCATTCTTCTTGTACCGTTACCCCGCTCCTCTCAGCTTGGGGTTGACTCTACCTCTTCACTTCTGTACTTTTGCCAAGAGGTGTCAAAACTACTCCAAAAAAAAAAAAAAAAAGCTTGATTTTGATTAATATAGAGAAACAAGACTTTGCCTGACTGATAATAAAACTGATAAATGACATTTGAATTACTTGTAGCGGTAATTTATTACATAAAATATCTTTTATTTGACATGCGATTAGTTGCTGGAAGCATCACTCAATCTGACTAGTTTAAACATGCTCTAAAATGAACCCCAGTAAAAACCAGGGCTGTCTGCTTCTGGCGTTATGAAATATACTAATCTTGGAGTGAGGAAAAAATCTGACTTTAAGTATTTAAATGATTAATTGGGTTTATATATTTTTTTTTACCTTTCTAACCCCCTTAATTACAAGCAAACTCAGGGGAGTTTCTGAACTAGGTGTGCAATCTGCATGCTTATCACTGAGGCATTGTCTGCATCCTGGGAGGGATTTATGGCCTCCATTGATGTGTGTTCCTGCAGATTTTACATCTGGAGCTCGGGCAGCCCTTTCCTTCCCATTTCTTGGCTTTTTAAGGACATTCCATCTCTGAGCCCAAGTCTAGAAAATGGGATTTTCTGGGCTCAGCCCCAAACACTAATGTCTCCAGGAAGGGTGGCTTTTCCGAGACCACCCCTGGGAGGCCAGTGCTCGGGGATCGTCACCTCTGGACTTGCCCGCCCTCCTGCTTGGTGGCAGGTGTCCCACTCGGTGCCTCTTATGATATCTCTGCTTTTTGGTGAATGTGGTTGACCTTGAGATGTTAGTGAATGCCAGCATCAGCAAAGAGAACATGGAGACCTAGCAGAAATGGTACCAGTTCATCACTGTTTATTAAGAACCTGCTATATGCTCAGTACAGTATCATGAGAGATTCAAAACATGATCTTTAAGAATCTTACAGGCTCTCTGGGAGAGATAAGATAAACTCTTAAGAAAAAGATAATAATATAAGACATTGTGATTTAATGCCAAAATTAATTATACAGACAAGAAACTCCACAGGAATACAGAAAAGAGAAAAATTAATGTAGGCTCGAGAAGTCAGAGAAGGCTTTGTGAAAGTAGGAGGAGGTTGACACCAGGGGAAGCTTGGTGTCACCTGGTGTGAGAATAAACCAGAGTTGTCAGGGCTTAAAAGAAAGTCGGGTAGAGCTCAGGAAAAGTCAGGCCGGGATGCAAGAGGAAATTTGACATCTTCTGTTTCTCGTTTTGGTTTGTTTTTGTTCGACTTTGAAGCAGGAATCAGTGTGCGTGTCTATGTGCAGAGCCTAACACAGTCCTGAACTAAAGTCCTTGTAAGTGCTTGACTGATTCATTCATTCTAAGATGACTTTTCTTCTTTCCTTCCAGAGAGACAAGAAAGCAAGGTAGCTTTGAAATACAGGCAAGGCCAGTGTGAATTTTGTATGATAATAATTTTTCTTAGGCTTAAATATTCCCCCCCGCCACTGTCTTTGGTAAACAATTTAGGCTTTTTCAAAGACTGACCTACAGTTTCAGTTGCCTCTTCTTAAAATAGGATGTACATGTCTGAGGTTGGTGAAAGGCTTTGACATCTCATTAGAAACCCTGGGAGAGTGTTGTGTGCTCTTTCTCAGTTTGTTTCTCTTCTGGCCCTGGTTAGTAACATAAACTTTCCCTTGATTGTCTTAGGTCCCTGAGGGAGCATTGATTACTGAATACCTGCTGTGTGCCAGGCACTGTGCCGGACCCCTGGGATGGGACGATTAAGGCCTGGCTGGTCTCTCTCTCCAGCCCTCCTGTCCAGTAGGAAAGACAGTTAAGGGAACACAGCAGTGCTATGAGGTCAGCCCAGGATGGTGGCACAGACAAGGTGAAGGGGCACCTCAGAGAGCAGGAGATGCCTAACTGGACCTGGGGCATGATTGGTACAGTGACCAGACAGGATGGACCGGAGCATCCAAACTAAAGCAAAGCCACATGGACGTGAAACCATGTGATGGTCAGAGCGGCTGCAACATGGGATAGGAGTGTCAGAAGAGACGACCCGGGGGAGTTGGCCGCCAGGTCATCTCCCTGACGGAGGACAGTCAAAATCACATGGCTTTTTTACTTTGAAATGCATTGTGTAATTATTTTTGAGGCTGTATTACCTATTTAACTGTATTATTCTTAGACTAATATTAAAATTATTTGTACCATCAGAGCAGATGCTGCGTGGGGAATTAGAGAAGACATGCTGGGTGTGCGCTGGATGCGACAGGGGTCCAGATGCTCTGCCCATAACTCCCTTTCAAATGCCTCCATTCCAACTGGGATGGAGGTTCCCCTTGCCTTGATCAGCCCCCTGTTCGCCACCACACTACACTGAAATATTTACTCACTTCCTATTAAACTGTGAGTTTCTTGAGCTCAGAGGCTTTTTTTTTAATCTATGGCCCGAGGTTCTGACTTAGCAGGTTTTCCAGAAACACTTGTTGAATGAATAAATGATGGTGGACGTGTGCTTGAGAATTGCAAGGCTACCGAGTAATACCATCAACTCTTGGGGTTGATGCCAAGGTAGCCAGTCAGTGAGGCCTCCTATGTGCTCTGTGTGGAGCAGGCTGCAGAAGTAGGGGACAGGCCTTGCTTCAGGAAGCCCCGGTTTAATGTAGAGGGAAGCCCCATGCTTGGGGTAGGACAGTAAAAGCTAACCCATGCCATCTTGTATGGTGTGAATAGTGAGAGCTTTCGGGAGTTAAGAACAAAGGAACCCCCAGGGTGCTGATCTCAGGCCAGGCCTTCTGGAGGAAGCAGGTCCATGGAGACACCGAGAAGCTGGGGGTGGGGAAGGTGTAAGTGACTCTGGAGGTGAGTGTGAACGGAGGTGGCGCTGTGAACAGCCTCTCTGTTCCCACCAAGAACTGAACGGGGAAGAATCTCTCCCGTTTCTCTCTCTCTCTCTCTCTCTCCCTCCCTCCCTCCCTCCCTCCCTCCCTCTCTCCCTCTCTCTCTCTCTCTCTCTCTCTCTCTCTCTCTTCCATTTCTCTGTCGGTTTAGCACA